ATCCCTACTTGTGCCTTCGTGTGTGACTTTGATTGTGTGCCAAATATCATTACAGTTTCACATATAGAAACTCGATTAAATTTGTTTTTATCGAGAGCACAAAACAAAGCAATCATCGCTTTAGCATTCAAAGAGAAAGTCTTCTTTTCCAAATCATTTCATTCATTCATTGGTTTGGAAAACTTCTCAAAACTGCTTTCAACAATGTTCCACAATTCGAAATCCATAGAATGTAAAAAAATTCTCATTCTAGTTTTCTAATACGTGTAGTCCGTCCAATTAGTGCTATCATAAAAATTAAGTCGATACGAAACTTTTGGCTTAATAAAAACAAATCAAAAAAGTTATTGAAAGTATACTTAACTTAGAATAATAGCAATAAGCAATTAAGGCAGAAAATAACAGTAATGAAGAGCAATAAGAAAGTGCACACTAATTTTATAGTGGTTCAATCTGTTAGGATCGGAGCGGCACTAAGAGGGGGGGGTGAATTAGTGCAACGGACTAAAACTTGTAAGTTCAAAAATGATTCCATAAAATGTAAGGAGATTTTGCTTTGATTGTAACTTGAGTAAAGTAAAGACCGAAAACTTGCTGTTGTGTAGATAACGATTGCAGAAAAGTAAGTACTCACACATTCAATGAACACGCCAATTTAAAGTGGTTCGGTCAAATGACCTGCATCCACTTGCGAAGCCTTCTTCAATGAGGCTCCCAACTTCCACTAGCAAATCTCTTTGAAGGGGTAGGACAAATACCCCTCTTACAACCTTTTACAAGTGGTTCACACTCTTATAATTTTTGAAGAGGAAAATGGAGGTGAACACTCAAGCAATTTAAGTCAAGACTTGCTAAAGACTTTTCTAAGACCTTTTTCTCAATCTATTGCTTTCACAAAAGTTATAATCTCAGCTGAGAATTGAGGGGTATTTATAGGCCCCAAGATGATTCAAATTTGGGCTCCAAATTTTGAATTCTCTTGGGTTTCCGAGGCTGGCGGTGCCACCGCCTGTCGGTGTCTGACACTGACAGTGTACTGGCGGTGCCACCGCCGGACCTCTGGGGTGCTGGGCAGTGCCACCGCTCAATTCTCGGGTTCTGGGTGGTGCCACCGCCTAATCTGGCAGTGCCACCGCCTACACCATTTCAGCTCACTGGTTGGACTCCAAACTTGGCCCAAACCAGTCCAAACTCGGGCCCAATTGACCCCTACTTGGGTTATAGGATTAACACCTAATCCTAACCCTAATTAACATGCTAACTACGAATTTAAAGACATTTCCTAAGCTATTACAAAGTCCATAAGTCAAGACTTCTTCCGGTGAGCTTCCGACGGTCTTCCGATAAACTCTCGGAAAACATTCTGCGGACTCCCGGCAGGCTCCTAGACTTTCACGATTTGATCTTGGCGAGTTCCGACGAGCTTCTTTGGCAAGCTACGATCTTTCTCAGTGAGCTCCGCGAACTTCCGACGTACCTTCCGACGAGCTTCCGAAAATCCTTCGGCAAACTCCCTACTCATTTTCGGCTAGTTCCAGCAACATTCTCGACGAATCTTCGGACTCTCAAACGTCCATCGAACTTGACTCCGGTATCCTTGCTTTATGTTTTCAGGCTATCGTAGTTAATCCTGCACACTTAACTTCAATAATATGGATTAGATAAATTAACCCATCAATTGATTTCATCATCAAAATCCGAGATTCAATAATCTCCCCCTTTTTTATGATGACAATCAATTGATGACGGAGTTAAAAATAACTCCCCCTATCTATATGCCATATTATGAGAAGATAAAAATACTTGAATTCCATCCCTTTGAATTCAAGCATAAACCGATAAGTTCTAACCGTTGAACTTATCGTTATTCTCATTAAGCATGAGCAAATACAAAACTTCGTATTTCAGCTATGAAATCATTTTTAAGTCAAATGATAAGGGACAATTTTTACTATGACGAGAGATAAAAATTTTCAACATGAATTTCATGATATAAATGTGAGGCATGATTTCATATGATCAACCAATCTAAGAACTTGCGATATACTCAAAGATTTTGCAAGGCATTTTGTAAGACATTTGTATTACACAAGCTTTTGCAATTCATATAAGTCATGCTATCGATGCACATAAGACATTTTCATTAAGTCATGCTAAGATATTTTCATTAAGTCATGCTATCGAAATGGTACAAGTCATCACTGCTCCCCCTTTGTCATCAACAAAAAGGAGATGAGACTTGAAGCATACAAATTGTGATCATAAAATCATTAGAAAAAGAATTCAGCATCAAGATTAATCATACAAAATTCATCATTCAAAATTAATCTCGCTGAAAATATTTATCCAGAACTTAGCTTAAAAAAAAATTCAGCATTCATCCAGAACAAATCAGCATTTATCCATAATTTAAAAATACATCTCAAAAGAAGGTTCAGTTTTCGTTCAAAAGAAGATGACAAACTTCTAACTTGACATTAAGAGTAAATAGAATAGAATAAGAAGGTACAACGATTACTCCTTAGGAGGTAATCCATAGTGCTGATACATGATATCTATTTTCTGATTCATTTGTCGTAGTTCCTTCAAAATTTCAATTTGTTGGATTTGAATTTGTTCTTGTTGCGATTTGAGTTGGTCTTGCTATGATTTGATTTGATACAATTCTGCCATAATGAGTTCTTCGGAGGATGAAACAGGAGCTGAAGGTGGTTCGCCAAAGGGACTAGGAGGAGGAGATTCATTTCCTCTAAGAATTGGTGTTTCGAGGTGTTCTACTAGTGGGGGAATTGGATCAGTCCTTCTAGGTTGCCTAACCCATATACCATTGCTAAATGTGCACCTAAGTCTTTTAAGCAGATTTCTATTTGATGCGGGGGGCATCTGTTTAAGCCGTGGCCTTGGGGCCGTCGCGACTCGGTTCGGGGGTCCGGATGTCAGGGATCTCGGGCTCCGTCCCTCGGGGTCTCCCGAAGGCCGAGCACGGTGGTTCGGGTCGGGAGGTCGGGTCGGGAGAAAGCTCCGCCGCAGCGCCAGGAAGAGTGGTTCGGGTCGGGAGGTCGGGTCGGCAGTTCGGGTCAGCGGGTCGGGTCGGCAGGTCGGGTCGGCAGTTCGGGTCGGCGGGTCGGGTCGACAGGTCGGGTCGGGAGAAAGCTCCGCCGCAGTGCCGGGAAGAGGCGACACCGTCTCGGACCTGCACACAAGTCAGGCTGGGAGCTCGGCCCGACCCCTCCGACGATCAAGTTAGCGATGTGGAGAGGGTTTTGGAGGAAGAGATGCCTCCAAGTGCGTTGTGCTTGTGTTCCTCCCTGTTTGTTTAGAACTCTGGGGTATTTATAGATGAGTTTGATGTTACCTGATGTGGCTGCTTGCAGGAGGCAGGCTGATAGCGTCTGACATGGGGTTGGCGTGGCGTGAAGAACTAAGCCTGAGTTAGGTGTTAATGCCGACTTCCTCGGGTAGTGTGTTGTCCAGGCATGGCTGACGTCATGGCGTGTTACATCGCCATTTTTACCCTTATCATATTTCCCCCCCGAAAGGAGCTATGCGCCGGTTGTGGTATAAGAGGAGTCTGATGCATGGCTTCTGTCTTCAGGCGGGCTGGCCGCACGGACGAGGTCTCGGGGAACATGGAGCCGAAGGGCCGAGGAGCCCGATGCAGGCGGGCTTGGCCGCGCAGGCGGGTCTCGGGAGCATGGGGCCAAGGAGCACGACGCAGGCGTACTGACCGCGCAGGCGTGTCTCGGGAACATGGAGCCAAGGAGCACGACGTAGGCGGGCTGGCCGCGCAGGTGTGTCTCGGGAACATGGGGCCAAGGAGCACGACGCAGGTGGGAAGGCCGCGCAGGTGTGGTCTCGGGCATTATGCGGCCGAGGATCACGACGCAGGCGGACAGACTGCGCAGGCATGGTCGCGTTGGTCATGCGGCCGAGTAGCACGACGCAGGCGGACAGACTACGCAGGCGTGGTCGCGATGGTCATGCGACCGAGTAGCACAACGCAAGCAGAGAGACCGCGCAGGTGTGGGCTCGGGCATCATGCGGCCGAGGAGGTGGCTTTGGGCAGCCTGCAGCCGAGGAGGTGGCCTCGGGCATTATGCGGCTGAGGAGGTGGCTTTGGGCAGCCTGCAACCGAGGAGCACGGCGTAGGTGGGCCGACTGCGCAAGTGCGGTCTCGGGCGTTATGTGGCCGAGGAGCGCGATGCAGGCGAGCTGGTCGCGCAGGCGTGTCTTGGGAGCATGGGGCCAAGGAGCACGACGCAGGCGGCTGGCCGCGCAGGTGTGTCTCTGGAACATGGGGCCAAGGAGCACGACGCAGGCGGGCTGGCCGCGCAGGTGTGGTCTCGGGCATTATGAGGCCGAGGATCACGACGCAGGCGGGCAGACCGCGCAGGCGTGGTCGCGTTGGTCATGCGGCCTAGTAGCACGATGCAGGCGGACAGACCACGCAGGCGTGGTCGTGATGGTCATGCGACCGAGTAGCACGACATAGGCGGGCAGGCCACGTGAGGTGGACTCGAGTAGTGCATGGCCGAGGGAAGTGGCTCGGGCCGAGAGACAACTCAGGCGGGTAGGTCGCGCTCAGGTGAACTCGACAGTGTATGGCCGAGAAGCTCGGCGCAGGCAGGCTGCGGCCGAGGGACACCGCTCAGGCGGGCAGGCCGCTCTGAGGTGAACTCGGCGGTGTATGGCCAAGAAGCTCGGCGCAGGCAGGCTGCGGCCGAGGGACACCGCTCAAGCGGGCAGGCCGCACTGAGGTGGACTCGGGCAGACTGTGACCGAGGGACATAGCTCAGGCGGGTAGGCCGCGCTGAGGTGGACTCGGGTGTCTCCGACCGAGCCGTGCAAATGCAAAAAAGAGGGGGGTTAGACCGAAGCTAACCGTGAGCCAAGAGGCGGTTAGGTAAATATGGAGCCTTTGCTTGGAGGAGACTGAGGAAGGGGCTAGATTCCTTGCACGAGAATTACACCGGATAACAACCGCGGGTGCTTGACTGCTGCTACGGGGCCTGTCGCCCAGAGTCACTCCTCTTCCTTGCGGTCACCCAAGCTTCCGCCGTGACGTACCGGTTGGCTCGCTGGAGCATATCTAGTATTGTGGTGGGGGGTCGCTCTACGAGGGACCAGCAGAATCTGGAAGGTCGCAAGCCTACCATGAACGCCTGCACTAACAGAGAGGGGTGAGTGTCCGGTAAGCTCCGGATTTGCGTGGCAAAGCGATCCATGAAATGTGAGAGGGGCTCGTCCTCTCTTTGTTTGAATCCGAGGAGTAGTGCCGCGGAGGGCTTCGGCCGGGCATGGGCTGCGAAGTGGAGCTCGAAGTCCTTGGCGAGCTGGCCGAAGGAACTGATCGTTCCGGTCTTCAGGCCGTCGTACCATGTGCGGGCTGGACCCCTCAGGGTCGTGGGAAACACCCTGCACATTAAAGCGTCAGACGTTCCATACAGTGCCAGTTGGGCACGGAAAGCGGCGACATGGTCCGCTGGGTCAGTGGAGCCGTCGTATGCGTCCAGAGAAGGGAGTTGGAAGTTCGAGGGAACCGCGTGATCTCGTATCTCTGGTGCGAACAGAGATCCTCGGTATGCATCCACCCCGAGCTCTCCCTTCGAGTTGCAAAACTCCTTCTCTAGTTCATCGAGCCGCTGCCAAAGAAAGCGTAGCTGGGCTCGCAGGG